CTTATTTATGATAATTGCAATTTTCGTATTCGCTTCTACCACCTACTTTATCATTCGCTTTTACGTTGCTGCTGTTGACACCGTTAAGCGCCTTAAATAAACACACAAGCACCAAAACCAAATACGAAAAATGTATAACAGAGTTGCACACAAAAAGGTGGTGCCGCGTGAAAACACCAATAGCTGGCTGCACTACTACAGCCAACTGCCGGCAAGTTGCAAGAAAAAGCCTCAATTTACCAACGCGAAATGATTTAAGCCGCAGCAGCCTGGGTATTTCGCATGCGCCTCTTAGTATTGCATAATTTTGGAAGTATGCTTGCTGCTTTCTTATTGCACGAGATGGACGTCACTTGTTGGCAATTCAGCTCTGAGGGCACTACATTCTGTTTTTGTGTTAAAGAACTCAGACAAATAAGTCAATGGGATTTGAGTTGAAAATATTCTAGGAATTTCGAGTAAATTTCGTCTGGAAGGAGTTGTCTGAAATAGCAGCCAGCTCAGTAGGGCTATGTATTTTTGTATGTGTATGCACATAAGTATGTGTGTGTGTGTGTGTGTGTGTGTGTGTGTGTGTGTGCCGTTGAAGGCTGCAAATGAGTTTACGTTTTGTTTTTTTTTGCTTCCATTGCCGGTGAGTATGATTGTGAATGGTGTAGGAAGAAAAAGTTCGAGGGACTGTAGCGAATGTGTTGCATTTACAAAATTGAATTAATTGCCTCTATTTGGCTTACCAAACCGTAATGCAATTAAATAAATTACAAATTCCAGCAAAATAAAAAGAATAAATGGATTGCAGCAATTTTGCGCGAAAAGGTTTTGTGTGCGGAAACTTCAGTTCGGAAAGTGAAACCCCTGTGGTGTTGGGATAATTATCGCAAAATTAAAATCTGTACAATGCAGACCATGATACTAATATGAATGAAAACATTGTGGTGATGTTGCAAATGCATCCTTTATGCACGCGTACGATAGCACAGTTGGAAAATTTAGTCCTGACAAGAAAACAGCGTCGAAACATCTTTACAGCAATATGGATACAGAAACAAATTGATCACGTCATGGTAGATTAAAGATACGCTTCGAGCTTTCTTTAAGTCCATTCCATCCGAGGGGCAAACATTCATTCGGATCACTACCTCGTTGCGCAATGTAAGTTTTGCGACGAGAAGTTGACGAAGATCCGCACAGACTAATGCCCCTTTTCTACACTGGACTGTTATACCGGCTTTTGATAGCACAAAGGGAAGCTGGCTCTATGAGGGACTAAAATGGAGACACCCGCAAAACTTATACTTTTATCTCGTTGGTCTGGCGATGAATGAGGACAAGACAAAAAAAACCTTCTGGCGACAAACAAAGAATCTTCGCATATTGAGTAGTGACTAGTGTATACACTGTTGGTACATAGTTATTAATTTGCAGGAGCGAAGCAATTTGCCAGTTTAGAATCCAACATTGGCATCACCAATCACCAAGTCAATCTGGATATGAAGCGAAGGATAACTCTGCCCAACAAGCGCTACATTGGACTTGGTAGGCAACTGAAAAGAAGAGCTCTTTCACTATTATACGCAAGATCGATGGCCCTGTTTCGTACTCGATGCGCTTTATTTATATGACATGGACAGTTTGAACGTCATACATTAGCTACACAAACAAACGCACATGTTGACAAATCCTAGCCGATCAATATTTCCAACAACCACTAAGCGGAAAATACATACATGTCTACTTATCCTTCAATCTTCTCCAACTGAAGCGTACTTAAGCTTTCAAAAGGAGCGTGGTGGCGAAAATTTTACGTGAATTATGGACAGTTACGGTCATGCAAGGAAAAAACAAAGCACACATACATACATACACGTGTGTGGTCATTTGTATGTACATAGCTTGCATTCAACCATAAAAATTGTTTTCCTTTACTTTAATGCGTCTTCAGTAGAGTGACATACCTAATAAATATCCTTGGCTGAGCAAAAAAAAAAAAAATAAAAATTATCCCCAAATAACAAATTTTATGTTTGTACACACACATTTCTACATATATATTCATATACAAACAAACAGCCAAGTGAAATATTTTTTTGTGTCCAAAATAGTGGAAAGTAGATTACAGCTCTAAGGCGACGGCGAAACGGTCATAGGCCTGTGAAAAATGTCACTTGTTGCTTAAGAAAAGATGAGAAAAACAAACTAGATTTCGTACTTTAGTATACTTACATGTATTTCCTGTATTCTTGGCGAATAAACGTACATGCATTAAGTACTCGTATATTTAAAAAGGGCTGTCAGGAAATTGAATGGAGATTGTAGCCGCAACAGCCAAGAAGGCCAGTACAGCTGTTTCAAAGCTGATTTGAGTTTATTTAGTGAAATCACAGAGAATTCGTAATCTACAAGTATTTATGTACTTACATACATACATATGTATATGTAAAAGTATGAAATCAGACTTTTGCGCTTGGGTAAAGAATTTCATTGTCATTGCTTGCCTGGGGGCGACTGCTATTTATTTATTAGAAACAACTTTTTATTTTTTTATTTTGTGATGTTCGCCGGAAACTGGGTTTGATCCCAGGCTCTGCAGAATGCTAGCGCGTATTGCTAACCACTACACCACAGCGGCCGTCATTCAATTTATGTAATATCTAATTCACTATACTTTTAAGTATGTTGCTACCCTACTCATAAGTTTTTATTTTTACTTAGAGCGGTGATGCTGGCCTTCAAAATGGTGTTTCACTCAACTGAGTAAAAAATATAACCACATAACCTGATAACCAGGCAAGCATGAACAACCTCAATGATTAATTTTGTTCGAATAAATAAAAAACTTAAAAAAAATTTACTGTACAGCAAATAGGTTAAATTATCAGTAGCAAACCAATTCAAACTCCTTAACTTTTCTTACAGGGCGTATATAGTTACTCAGATACTTAAAAATAACTGGCGTTGGAAGCATTCATATATTTTCATAAATTTATCGAATACCTTTTGTACTTTTTTAGCAACATAAATATGAATTTATTTATGTTCGGGTTATTATTACAATCGAATAAGCATAAATTAACAGCTTAGAAGTGATGAGAACTCAAAGGAAAATGGCTAGGGTTGAAAGTCATTATACAGAAATATTTACTTATCCATATGTATTAGAGGTTTACGCCGCCGCGGCGTTCGGCGCCTTAGGAATTTTGTACAAAATTTTCATGATGTATGCACACTGAATTGCATCGTTTGAAGGAACGTATAAATAGTGCTATTTTGCAAAATAAAATTTAATTTTCAAATTCCATTTTTAATTTTGACTATGAACTTATTTATTTTTCCAAATAAAATATAACTTATTAAAAAAAAAACAGAAAAAAGTTGTTCGTTCGAAAGCGTTTATTAAAGTTAATTTAGGGTCGAAGACTGGTCATCTGGCGATTTTTATGCGTATTAAACAATTTTTTGCAATACCACAATAACAAAAAAGTGATTACACATCAAAAACTTTAAACGCGAATATCTTAGAAAGCAATTTTAACATTAGCGCCTTTATTGCATCTAACTCCTCAGTTATTGGAGATAAATCTAAATAAAAGTTAATTTTCTTTTGTTTATTTTTTTTTCTTTGCATGTGGGCAAAACTTATGTTGCCTTCAATCTGACAAGGTCTATCTAATTTTTTGCTCTCCCTGAGCAGACGACACTGCAGACAACTTGCCGGACTGCTGACAGGTCACTTCACGTGGCACAAACACCTGACTGTGATAGGCGCAAATGACAAGTCCATTTGCCCATCTTGCCTTGAAAAAGACGGTGGAATACTTTTTGTGCCTCTTGCTTGCTTGGTTATTTGTCATCGATTTTTTTAAACTCGTTCTTTTCCCTGTTGTCAGTTTGTGAGCTTTGGGAATATTTAGAAATGTATCAGCAGGGGGTCCACCGAAACCAGTAAATTTTTGAAAGCGGTCTACAAGAAAAAAAGTTTGGAAACCTCTGATCTAGATAGTACCGGAAAAACAAACAAAATGCGCACCTCCTCTTTGAAACACCTTTCGAACAAAAGAACAATCATTCAAATCGGTTTAGAAACATAGGAACACTAGGCAGGAATAGATTTGTATGGAATTTCGTTAGCGCCGCGGCCGCCGCAAAGCCTGTCAGCGTAAACCTCTAATATGTAACGAAATAGCTTACCAAATGCTTAATCGAGTAACAGGCGTCGTTCCATAAATTTTTAGTATGCATGTGTATATGAAATGTTTGGACAAATTGATGAATCCATTAATTTACAGCTTTTAGCGTGGTTGGAGTCTTGAAGGATCTTCCTTCCCTGAAAAAAAACTCCGAAACAATATTTTAGGAGGCGATATGTTTTTAGTTGCTGAGTGTCTAAAACTAAGTTTAAATGAAATTTAATTGAGCCAATTACATTTTTAATTGAGATACCACTTTTTCGCGTTCGATTAGAAATGTTCCACAGATGTGGGAAGTTACTTAAATTGTACCTCTCGTTAATTTGAAAGTCAATTTGTACAAGCGCACCATTTTATGTACGTTTGGAACGTAGGCAAACAACATTTCAGGAAATTATTTTTACTTTCTTACTTTTTATTAACATTTCAATGCAATTACTTGATTAACTGCATGCCTCAACTTAATATAAGGCGCTAAGTAATATTTAAAATATCCTTTGAATATGTTGGCGTGAAAAATTATACTAACTTTTTAATTCAGTTTGTATTGCCCAGAAAAGGTCCTGCTATTGCCAATCTATAGTAAGCTTCAGGACTCGGCCATACACTATTTATTTGAGCATTTCCTCCACAGTTATAGAAGATCACATTTTAAGTAGCGGTATCACCTACCGTGTTCGCAGCGTTAGGGTTAAATAAAACTGAAGAAAAACGTATATCAATTAGTTAGATATTTCATTATTTATGATCAATAGCTATACATTTTATAATTTGTCTAGTCGAAAAATCATTATTTTTCTATCTATATTACAGTTTCATGCAGTACAGTCACCGTGACAAAATGTCAAGCCGCCTTAAGGACACTACAAGCCTTTCAGTTCTTTCGTCCAACCTGCCTTTGTAAAGAGCCTGGAATGGATCCGGATTGTAATCATTTCCGGGATTTTCTTTTCGATCATCCATGCGGATTTGTGCTTAAAAAAGGTGAGTGAAATTGTAGATAAATGTTTTCTTAATTTTTCGTTGCTCTTGATGAGGGCTAATAAGAAGTTACATACTTTTAAGGCAAAACATTTGTTTTAGAAGATATCGCTGCTACATAATCGATAAAAACATCAAAAACGACATCTCTAAATTACATATACACCGCCTACAGCTTGAGAATCCTCGTTGAGAGGCTTCGTTGGGCCCCACGCTTTACGAGAGCGTCAGTTCGTTCGTTGTTATCAAAAACCTGAAGTCATGGTTCAAAAAAGTTTTGCAATTGTCCATCAGCCTTGAGTAGAAATGATGATTAAAATTTAGTACAAAAATATTATTGGAAGTAACTACAAGATATTAATCGATTAATCAGCATATTCGACTATTTTTGTTTTTAATTTTTTTGGTACTTTATAAGTCAGGATTTTCGAGACTACTTAAGGATTCCCAGGACTATTTCGTGATTTTCTGGAATATTTCAGAATTTTTATTAAATTAATATCAATGTATTTATCGGTTCTGCAATCGTTATATCAATCGGTATTATTTTCGATATAATATTCTACATTTTTAATGATATATTTTTCGATATAAATATTTGTTGACATATCTAGCTTTATTGCTATCGATATAGAAACCGATATATTTATCGATATATATTAACTCGAAAAATACCGAAATAGTCTCTAAATTCCACAACATCTCTAAGCAGTCTCGAAAATGTAGATAAAGTTCTAGGAAACCCAAAAATTCTAGAAACCTCGAAGTAGTCCCGAAATTTCCGCAAAGTCCCATAAATTCTAAAAATCCCAAAGTAGTGTCGAAAATATCAAAATAGTCCCGAGAATCCAGAAATAATACCTACTCTAAAACTCTAAAAATATCGAAATAGTCGCAAAAATGCCGAAGGAGCCCCAAAAATACCACGATAGTTGCAAAAATCTCGATATAGTTTCGAAAATCCTAAACATCCAGAAGCAATCTCGAAAACCCCGAAATAGTCCCTAAAATCTTGAAATAGGCTCGAAAATACCAAAATTCTGTATTTTGTATTTAATCAAGTCATAAGTACAAAGTGGTTTTGTATCCATGTATTTAGTAAAGACAAAGTATCAAGTTCACAATTTTGTCCATAAATGACAAAAACGTCAGCTTGTGAGATATGCTCCAGTCTTGGACAAGCATAAAACGTCTAATTTAAATTTGAATATTTTTTCTGGGTTATCCCAAGATACCTTGTATCTTTGCGCTTATTCAAATTGGCTTTCTTTCCTGCGATTAAGAAGATGATGTTGGACTTTAGGGGAATTTTTAGCAATCCCTTATTTCAGTACATTTTCTCGGTTGATTTTAAGGCTACCTGCAATCTCTGGGCAATGCTGTCTTCATGCCTGTCCAACATGTATAAGGCTGGATCATCTGAAATAAGGAAAACCTTGAATTGGTTGTCATTTTAGTTTTTTTAAGAGCTCATCATCATCAACCAGTGCCAATTCTTACTAATTGTATACTACGTCCTGGTTCTTNTTGATTTTAAGGCTACCTGCAATCTCTGGGCAATGCTGTCTTCATGCCTGCCCAAACATGTATAAGGCTGGATCATCTGAAATACAGAAAACTTTTGAATTGGTTGCCATTTTAGGTTTTTTAAGAGCTCATCATCATCAACCAGTGCCAATACTTACTAATTGTCTACTGCGTCCTGGTTCTGATAGTATAGTTCTGAGTTCCACCATGCTTATGATCCATGGCAGTTATGCACTATATTAGTTTCTAGTAGTTATTGTGCTATTTTCTTTACATAAGTAGATGTACATACTTATGTATATTCCGTTCAAATAGAGTGCCTTTTATGCAAATATATACCATAGTGTAAACCTTACCCATTGCTTCTTATCCTCGCCGTACTAGAAATTATACATTTAACCTTTAAGTAAATATCCGATTAATTTAAATGAAGATGCTTAAATGCAATTAATTCGACGGCTCATTACCTTCGCCCTAACGCGCACGCTTACAATCACACAATCGCACTCAATCGCATATACATAGGTACATACACAAACAAACAAGTACCGCACACACACGCTACCAGTGCGCTTGAGTAGCCGAGCAGCAGGGTGTAATAAATTTCGCAAGCAACTCCTTGCTGCCATCTCCTAACAACTAACAACAATAGCCGACAGGAAGGCTAAGCAGCAACAACAACNGTACATACTTATGTATATTCCGTTCAAATAGAGTGCCTTTTATGCAAATATATACCATAGTGTAAACCTTACCCATTGCTTCTTATCCTCGCCGTACTAGAAATTATACATTTAACCTTTAAGTAAATATCCGATTAATTTAAATGAAGATGCTTAAATGCAATTAATTCGACGGCTCATTACCTTCGCCCTAACGCGCACGCTTACAATCACACAATCGCACTCAATCGCATATACATAGGTACATACACAAACAAACAAGTACCGCACACACACGCTACCAGTGCGCTTGAGTAGCCGAGCAGCAGGGTGTAATAAATTTCGCAGCAACTCCTTGCTGCCATCTCCTAACAACTAACAACAATACCCGACAGGCAGGCTAAGAAGCAACAACAAACAACAATGATGCATTAAAGGTGGCATCAAAACCATATTGCGGCTTAAGAGGACATTTGTACGCGTATGTGTATCTGCGAAAGTTGCGAAGATTTATTGTTATTACAAAATTAAGTAGCGCACTTCAATCATGCGGTGAATTACGCAGCAACAAATTGTAATTTATAAAGTGGAAACTCCTGAGGATTCGCCACTTTGCCGCAATGAGCTGCAACTAGACACTTAAGCGAAGCTGGAAGAATAAGATTGGCAGCACCGCCACACATGCACTACACACATACTGTATATAATCACACCATGCCGAAAATCTGACTAGCTCAAAACTAGCGTAGAACTAGACCTTTTGCCGACAGTACTAGTTCTAGCTCAATACCCAAGCGATGCTTTCAACTGTCCAGTTTTACACGGCGATGCTATTGGCGGTGGAAATTGTCGCCCAGTGCAATTACTATTCAACTAGTTTTTAACCGGTTCCGTTTTGGACATTTGGAATTGGCAAATTCAACGGAAAATGTTGAGACGGAAACAAGTGCTTCTTGAATGTATGTTTTTAATTTAACAAAAACTTGCTAATAAAAGGCTAAAGAGTAACACTTAGAAAAAGGCCAATGAAAGTAAAGGTGGCTACGTACACAGATAAAGAAAAGAATAAAGGTAAATGTAAAAAAAAAAAAACAAAGATCCTTAAGGATAAAGGCAGAAACGAAGCCCAAAGTAAATATAAACACTTTACTTATATAAGGGCAAGGGTGAAGCGGAATATGTTGATGAAGAAGATGAAAACATAAAAGTAAAAACAAAGACAAATGTAAAGAAAAATATGAGGATGAGGATACTGATAAAAGTAAAGATGAAGATAGAGAAAGAAAGATTAAAATAGATTTAGTTATAGAGAAAAGGATATACTAGATGGAGACACAGACTCAATCTGCTAACTATTTTAGGATTTTAGAAACTTTCGTAATTCTCGGGACTTATCGATATCATATTATTTATCGAATTTGTTATCGATTTTCTAATCGACTTCGATATCCATTTTCTAATCGTTTTTTCTACCAGTATTATTATCGATTTTGTTACCGAAAATTTTGTCGAATTTGTCATCGACTTTGTTATCGATATTTTACCGATTTTGTTATCGACTATTTATCGATTTTGTTATCGATTATTTATCGATTTTGTTATCGATATTTTACCGATTTTGTTATCGATTATTTATCGATTATTTTTATCGATTTTGTTAACAATTATTGATAGATTTTGTTACCGATATTTTTATCGATAAATTTATCGATATTTTTTCGATTTTCTAATCGACTTTTCTACCAATATTATTATAGATTTTGCTATCGAAATTTTTATCGAATTTGTCATCGATTTTGTTATTGATATTTTTATCGGTTTTGTTATCGATATTTTCTTGGATGTTACTATCGATTTTGTTATCGATAGAGTATAAAGATACATATTAAGATAAAGGGAAGCAGAATAACATAAGTGTAATTAGAACGAACTGGAGTAGAGGGACCCCTAGATAGAAAAAAGACAAAAAATATAACCTTAAGCAAAAGTAGATGTATGTATGTATGTACATATGTATGCATATGTATGTATATTGAATATGAGACAAAAGAGATATGTAACGTAAGTGTCACTTCTCCAGTGTGGACTAGGCGCACTTACCTTTTTTTATAAGAAACCGTTTTTAAGATTAGATTTTCGGATATTTTTTTCGCTTTTCCTTTTCTGTTACAGATTCCATTTTTGTTGCATATTTTGTTATAAAAACAAATATTATTGTATGCTGCACGCAACAATTTAAATTCATTAAATTTGAAAACTCACACAAACTGCCTCCACCGCACTGCTTGAGTCGCATACACCGCAAGTTTCAACTGTCCCACTCTGTGGCCGTTTTGCACTAGTTCAGAGATAGTTCTGAAATATTTAGTTCGGATCTAGCGCTTTTCCAAACTGTCTCTAAATTTTTCTGCAGGATAAGCACGCACAGACACACACACACATGCGCCAATATACAGTTTTGTGCGTCAAGTGTGAGGAAGCCACGGAAATTGAGTAAAGTGCACCTGAAGAAAATCCAGCTTTCTTCAATATTTTTTTTTTTTACTTCAAGCGCAATATGTCTGTTGCATATTTACCGGCGCATATTTTAACGTTTGTATGCGTGTGTGTGTGTGTGTGTGCGTGTGTGTGCTCGCCGAAATAAAGTTGGGTTTAAAATTGCAATAATGCTTGATATATAAGACAGACAAATCACTTTTGTCTCGCGCACATCTATGTTAATATCTGCATACGTACGCATGAGGGTAGTCAATAAATGTGTGCGTGTGTGTGAGTGCGCCCCTAGCACCTGCAACGTGACAATGCGCCCATTTA